GACTTGAAAAACGTGGTTACGCAATAAAGTATATCTTGGATCCGATCATTTCAACTAGAAATATATCTATCTATCCTAATGAAAATAAAATGCTAGCATTGTGTCCAATCCAAGGTTAGCAATGCATTGAAACAAGTAAAGTAAAATTATATTCGGTTGCGAGGGAATCTTTTATACTAATCGCCGTTAGCCCAATGAAAGATTGAAAAGTATAAGAAAGAAGAAAAGTATATGCTATAATGATGGGCGGGCGTGGCTGCCGTCCTTTCTTTTTTTATAGAATAAGTTTATGGAAATTTATATCGTATATCCGCTGTAATGTATGAGCGACAAGCAAAAGCCACAGAAATGAAAGCGAAGCAGTTCTCGCACTTTTGGTTGCATAGACATGCGACATTTTAGAGACATGTTATTTAACCTATTTAGGCCATATTCAAACTCTTTTGCAAATTTGTTTAGAATGTTTACCACAGACACCAATCTCTGCAATCCGACTTTGAAACTGTCCAAGAATTTATCTATATTTTTGTGGAGGCTTATGAAGCTTGCCCCTGTGCCTTATAAAGTCAATAAAAAAAAAGGAAAAAAATTTAATTTTTATATTCTATATTATATCTAAGAAAAATAAAAACCAATATGTCTTACTGGCTTTAGTTGTTTTACCCGTTACTTTAATCCGAAATAGCCGCGAGTGCGCTCGCCAATGCAACATTTATTGATGTTGAGCAAAACTTGACTAATTTCAATTAAAAATTAGTTAATTTACATTAATTTCTTACATCAATTTCCTTCTACACTAAGTACACTAAGTTCGGTCATATAGTAAACCATTTGAAAAACAAAAATGTCATCATTTTTACATCTGTGAATCAATTGTAACCTTGTAATTTTATGCTTATGGATACAAAACCGATTAACTAAAGACGATCTCTTCTTCATATAAGAAAGTGTTATATAAACGATTATAGCGAATTCTTTCGCTATTTATTTTTTATTGAATGTATTAAGTCGGTCAGTATTCAATATAAAATTTCCTCCGCTAATCATTATCATTATCGGTTTTTTCTTTTTCATTATAATCACTATCATTACACATCCCACAAATATTATCGGCATCCGGTTATTATCAATGTATTGTAGTGTATTGTGTAGTGTAATGAAGTTTACATAAATGTGATTAATTAAGAAACAAATTTAATACTACGACGATAGTTATGCGTTGTTGTTCATCAATTTCGAAAATTTTTTTGGTAAACTAAGTGAATTCAAAAAGTCTTAGTTTAATAAGCGAACTTGAAATATCTTCAGCGTTATGGTATTATACATGAAGATGAGATAAGCTGCTACGTGGGCTTTTCATATGCTTAAAGCATTTTGAAAGTTGGCAAAGTCTCTTTTGCTTTGTCGAAAAGTGATTTTTTCAAAGTCAATGAATTACGAAATAACATAACACGTTACTCAATAAGTAACTTGCCTAACATATATATGCCGTCACTGTTCATAGATTCGTATGATACGATAGACTGGATAGGATCGACGTTCAAATGATGCATTCTGGCAATTAGTTAGTTAGTACATGTTGCACTCGTTTTAGTGATGATACTTTTTTTAATTCTCAAAGCAATGGAAAACTCTGGCTTCATCTGACTTTTTGATGGCAGCAAAAAGTACGTTTACAATAAGCGTTGTCTTGAAAGGCGGTGCGACAACTCTTGTAGGTGCTTTATTAATTTTAGATACAGTCGTATTGGCAGACCGATGGTGCGAAACGCTCTAGCTTAGCGAATTCGGCAGTTGCTCCAGAAAAAGCCAAAAAAGTGCACACAATCGTTTTGATCGCGGGAGATAACTGACGCCTTAAATATATCCAAAAATAGTGAACAGCATTTACTGTTTGCATGAACGTGCATGAACATGAGGAGGACGCTTTGCTCGAAGTGGGCACCGCGATCGTTCACATTTACCAATAACATGTTGACAGCGGTGTTTAGTGCTGTTTAGACAGAATAAAAAGCATTCTTTTATGCGATATACAATCATGGTTGGGTCGATCATTATACCCGAGAGACAAATTGGCAGTCAGCCGAGTGAAATACGAAATGACGAAATACGTGTGGAGCGATCAAACAACTAGTATCCACGCACGGCTCTGCCAACAGTGGCACCAAATATGTTTAAGACCGGAGACTTATTGAATAATGTGATATTTTCATACCCACTTAGCCAGAAATCGTTTTCCCGTACGTTTTCTAGCATTCAAAAAAATGTATGAGAGAGTGAGTACCTAAAGTGCATTTACTCTCGATTGGTGTAAAATTCTTCATTAATTTACTTATGGTTTAAGTCTGCCCGCTATCCCCTGAAAGAGAAAGTTAAAGTTTGTGTGAGTTTGTTAAATGCATTCTTAATTTAGATCGTTGCGTTGATCAAAATTGAAAACGGGAATTATAAGTTTACAAATGTACTGACAATTTACGCCGCAAATTTCGTTAAAAGTCTTTATCATATCCACAAATACATAACCTTCGCTTATGGTAACTTAGTCGAGCTTATTGCCATCCATTACTTAGTGAAGAAGAAGGTGTGCGACAGTGTTGTTAAGAATTCATCGCAAGGCGAATGCATTACATTGCAATCGTTAAATGTTCTAAATATAATTTGCCTGAAAGCTAGTTAAAGTTACTTACTTCAAAGCAAGGCAAAGGAAAAGAAAAAACTATCTTCAATCAATGTATAATGCATCCTAGCACGATGAGTCTCAAAGTGTCGTAGTCAGAAAGGTATACCGTATCTTCAACAAGAAATTTTTATCCAAACAACCTTTATATGAATAGAAAAGATTGCGCATAGGCCGTATATTTTTATACCCATCACTGTAAGATGGGGATATAGTAGAAGATATTTTGTTTTTTTCCAAAATATATGTAACATCGAAAAGGAAGTTTCAGAGAGATATATTTTGAAGTCATTTAGCCATGTCCGTCCGTCACTATGTCTGTGTGTCTGTGTGATGTATATTGTTGGCATTCTCCTGGTCGCAAAAATTTAGATATCGGCTTCAAATTTGGTAGGAACCTTGGAAATTTCTGCACGCTGCAGGTTAGAGCAGATGCGCGCAGTGCAGCGTAAACTGAATGCAAGATTCGTTACAAAAGCGAAAAGCTGAGCCGTAACTGACATTCTTCCTGTCTCACTATTGTTGTTAATTTAAAATAAAGTAAATTAGAGAAGCATTTTTTGGATACGCAACATGAAATAATCAAAAAATTATATTCAAATGCTTAATGGGCACGGATATAGGGGTTAATCACGAATTCAGATCAAAGAAGAAGTAAATGGTATTTTAAATGGCATTTCCATGCCTAGTTAAAAAATGTTTAAACCATTTCCCGTTCCAGGCCTGAGCAAAGTACGCTTAGATTTGCACAAAAAATTTCAATTGCATTAGAAAAAAGTAATCAAAGGCAATCGAATATGTTATGAATAAATCTCTTCTCACCTTTCTTCGAGTTTCACGATCGTCCGAGTTAGAATAGCAGAGAAATTGTATACCCAAAGGGACAAAGAAATTCTTGTACGTAGTCATGCTGAGTCTAAAACATATTCGAATACATCATAAGTAGGATTGAATCTTCGATGCTCACTGTTTGAAATCAGTAACAAGAATACCACAATACCAAGTATTTTGCAAATTATGGCCATTGCGATAAGGTGAGGGGTCAAATTTTTCCCTTTCTCGGAATCCTGTATGAATAGCTGTACAATGCTTTAGATCAGTTTCTGCTAAGAAATAAAAATTAAAGGTTTTACTCACTGCGGCAGCGTCTTTTTGCCGACTCTTCAAAACATTTCGTAAAAAGCTTGTATCAAGTTTTAAGTCAATATTGCCCTAACACTTACCATAGTCATAGTCTTTCATTTATTATGAACGGACCATTACGTCAACTTGAAAAGTTAACCAACGGTCGCGGCTTTCATTTAAGAACGCCAAGAGGCCAAGGCTTAGCTTTCTATTTCGAGTCTTACTGCAGGAAGCAGACGGCAGATAAACATTTGGACGGCCAAACAACATGAATCTTTCGCTGATCAAGAGCATATACACTTTATGGTGTGTCTCCAGCAATATCTCTGATATATTGCGAGTGTCTTAAGTGGAAGAATGATTGAAGACTATGCTCCTTTTTTTCGGGTATATGTACATTTTTACATCGATCACGAAAATTAAGGGGACTTTTTACATCGCAAATAGATTTGCTTGCACAATGGCCTCGAAGGCTTATGTTCTTATGAATTTTAGTATAAATTTTTTATATCCTGGCATCCTAAGTCTTCTTCTCCTTTATTCTATATGAATGAATTTAAAACTAACAATTTAAGACAGACAAAGTGTTGCCTACTTTTACGGACAATCATCCATAAATGCTAGTCAATCGTATGAACTGGCAGCAGTTACTGGAAAAATGATAGGTAAGCTAAGGTCACTTAGCCGCGTTATCAGCGATTTATCAATTTATGCAATAACTTAGAAAAATGATCAGCAATTTTGGTAACCTTGGAATATATAGAAATTTTTGAACGTCCAAAAAAAAAAGGTGCGACGCAACGTGGTCTTGATTGATTGAATAATCATATGGATAGATAGAATTACTGGTGACTCTATATTAAATGACTGATAATCAGTGTGTATGTGTTCGTGTGTATGTGTGCGTGCGTGTGTGTGTGCTCAATGTTTTTTAACTTAATTCCTTACATAACATAGGTAGGAGTTTTTACTAAAGTAGACCTAAAAATGGGCTACAAGTGTAATATGGTTATATAACAGTTTGACAATTTTACCATATTCTTTTAAAAAAATGATCTTGTGACTATTCAAGGTTTCAAGTCGTCTTTAACTGTCGCATAGCTGCGAAATATTATATATTAGTGTAGATTTTAATCAGTTATTACGAAACGTATTTAACTGAATTGAATCATTGAAGGAATTAAAACAACCAACCAACCTTTTTGTAATTGATGTTGATGTTGCTGTTTCTGCTGTTGCTGCTGCTGTTGCTGCTGACGATATAAATGATGATGTACAGCGGCGGCATGTTGCAAATCGCGCCACGGTTGCCATAATAGGCTATTGGCCATATTTGTATTGTTTTGCTGTTGTTGTTGTACAGCCGCTGCCGCCGCTGCATTGGAGTTGGAAGTATGCTGTTGTTGTTGTTGTTGTTGTTGTTGGTGGTGGTGGTGCTGCTGTTGTTGTTGCTGCTGCTGCTGTTGATGTAATTGTTGCTGTAAATGATGTTGATGAAATAGGAATTGCTGCTGCTGTTGTACAGCAGCTGCAGCAGCCGCGGCCAACGGTGTATGAGCATAAGAAGAAGAGAATGAAGATTTTTGGTTAGCAGCAGCCGCTACAGCAACAGCAGCGGCAGTAGCAGAAGAGGTGGGCGATGAAGCCAATGAAGAGGAAGCCGACGAAGGCGGTGTATTAGTAGAGCAGTTGCTAGGTGCGGTAGCAAAACCAGAGGTCGTTGAGCTGGCTACAACCGAATTTCGTAGATTAGTGTGAGCGTGTTCCAATTCATTAATGCGATTGTAATAGTTTTGCTTGAAGGCATTCAATATGCAAAGATATTCCATGATTGCTTAAGGATTTTCTTCTTTTCCTTTTTTTTTTTTTTACGATATTCTAAACAACATTTGTAAAATTTAATTTAATCACAATCTTTTGATTTATATATTTAATTTTTATTAATTATCAAAATTATCGGTATATATATTTTTTTTTTTTTTTCACTCACGATACACTCGCGCACATCTGAAATTTGCCCACATATATACACGACTATACATAAATATCAAATAAATAAATGAATTGTTTAAAATACTAGCCAGCAAACAATAATCAAGAATTCGATTTGAATAATAATTCAGAAAAAAAAATAGAATAAAATTAAAAAAAAAGTAAAAAAAAAAAATTAAAAAAAAAAAAGCACAGCACAACACAACACAAAATAAAGGCAAAAGCAATAAAAACAGCGCAGAGCTACGACAACTTAAAAGACAACACATAGGCAAACGATACGATGATATTTTCAACTTTGCGTTCATACGTATGTGTTAGCCATGATAAAGATGAGACGACGGCAGTGGTGTAGCGCGGCGTCGTTGTATTTTGCGTTTCTTAAGTTTCTTAAGTCTGCCAAACACACTTAAAGTGGGCGTTCGTCAAAAGGGGTAACCGTCGCGGCGCTTATGCACAGCAAAAATAAAAAAAAAAAAAAATGAATAAAATAAATAAAAAAAAAAAAAAAAAAAAAAAAAAAAAACAGAGCAAACCATTACAGTTGAGCTATCGAAATCATTGACTGCAAGTCACCGTTTACAACTGAATGGTAGCGAGCTGGCAAGCTATTTACTCTGGCTGTTGAATCGTTTGCGAACCCGCTTAGTAGAGCGCTGTAGATTGATCTATTGTAGTTTTTATTATTATAAATTCTCTTATCGTTGTTGTCTTTTGTGTTGTCGTAAGGCGTTTATATTTATAAAACACTTTTTTTTCTGATTTTTTTTTTTTTTTGATTATTTATATTCGCCACTTCTTATTCTTACTCGTTTCGTTGTACTCACACATAATTTATTTTGCAAATAATTTGCATGCAATTGTCATTCAAATGGAGTGAGCGACTGCAAAAGAATGAGTGACTAACTGACAATCTGCATGCACTTGGTCAAGGGTTTCCAATTTCAATGCGTTGATATTTAAACGAGCAACTTCACTATATTTCAAAATAATTTTACTTTTCATTTATCTGATAATTTTTCTTTAGAATTTATTTATTTATGTATAAATACACATATCTATATAGATATATACATAAATATATATATATACATACATACATAGATAGATATATGCATAATATATACATACAAATATATCTATATCTCTATATATATTTCTTTCTTTTTCATTAAAACTTATATAAATACGCGTCCACTTGTGCTTTAGGTAACAGTCAACATTATAGACTAAAGCTTAGTTAATGACGGTGGCCCCATCAAGTCAATAGCGGACTCATCGTACAGTACTAAAGTTAAATTGATCACTTTTCGAGAGAGATTTTATTTTGAGCTCATAAAGAGAAAAAAAAAAAAACAACGAGACACACACAAATGTTTTAAGCTCTTCTTTCATAAAAGACTAGCAAGAGCTGCAAGAAGTGTTGCTATCTTGTTAAATAAATAATTAAAAAAAATTAAAAAACACAAAAACGCTTATTTAACTTAAAATTGAATTACAATAAATTCATGCTTAGAAATGTAAGTCCCATCATAGTTCCCTAACTCACGTAAGTGAATTAAAGTATGAAGGAAAAAACAGATCAGCAGGTAGCCAAGTCCGAGCGACTTGATAGTTGGTAACTACATTTTCGGATTGATATGTACAAATTTTCGATCAATGTAATGCATATAGAAATTGTTTCATTTTCACAATTTTCATAGTTTATTGCCTCATAATTTCACTTTAACTAAATGGATCAATTTTGCTGTGGGCAAGACGAGCTGTGCATGCGACGTGGCGAGAAACGCAATATATCGATCAGATATTATACTGCACGTTTTTATTTTAAGTGACCAATCACTCAGCGGATGTCGCCTATTCGCGTAACACGATTTCGGTCAGAAGGGAGACAAAACGAAAAAGAGAAAGTTATAGGGAGGTGTATGCAGCTTAGTGGCTCTGTTTGCGCAATCGATAAGTTCTATGCCTTCCTCGACTAAGCCATATAGCCTATGAGCATTGTAGCTGGAACGAAAATAAACTCTACCACACTGAGATTTGAAACCGCGTATAATCACTTGTTGGTCGCGGTTCTTATCTACTCGGTTTCTCTTGCGGATAAAAGGGATCGCAAAATTTTTACAAGATTCGAATTAAATCGAAAAAAGTTTTCTTTTTCTCTTTTTTTTTTTTTTGTGTAATTTTCTTAATGTACACCGAATAGGGTTGATTATGCGCGGTGAGCTGCACTTTGCGGGCACACATGTCTCTCTTTTATCGCAATTTAGCTGAATTTCATTGCTGCATTGGTCAACCACCTTCTTCAGCGTACGAGTGGTTGTAGTGGTTGTAGGCCTGTTGGCATGGACCTTTGACTTCAATCTGTTAGTTGTCAAATTGTGTTTTCTTTTTGGAAAAATGGCTGCAACTTTAAACCTTGTCTAAATTTTTGGGACGATCCATGTTTGGAATCATACTTTTAGAAGATCTATCTATCATTTTCTTGCTCATGATGACGGTGATTGAGGTCCAAGTTGAGAGGTCTGAACAAATAGCTCCACTTTTGAGGTAATAGCTTAGAAAAGAAGGGGAAACTGTCAACGATTTGATAACTGAAAGCGAATGCTTAGGTCATTTTTTTAACAGCGATGTCAACGAATGAAAGGCAGAGAGTTTGAAAATCAGAGAAATTGTATATAAATAAAATTGAGTTTTTGTAGCCAGCTACGAGGTACTAACAAGTTGTATAAGTTATATCATATCATATATCGTTTTATATATTTTGCAGGTGATTTATTGGATATCTTGTTTATAGGTTTGGCTTTTCAGATCCATTAGGTCATGTTCAGTTTTAGACTGCTTCGGACTATATATGAAGACGATTCTAGTCTTGAAGAAGAGAAAGTCACAAGTCACACTTGTTCTATTTAAAATAAGCTTTTTCCGCTGATTCGAAGGGCATACGGAATAGCATATATTTTTTGCAAGCAGAGCAGCTTCCGTTCCGTTTTGATGTTGAAAATGAAATTGCGTTTTCGATTATAGTGCTGTCTTGCTTGAATGCAAAACAGAAGAACGCTTGATTAGCCATACAAGGTAAGAATATCGTTCGATGAACAATAGTTAAGATAACTTTCAGGTTCAGATTATATTAAATATTGGGAAGATTGTGGATTAAAGTTTTGGTTTATTAACCTTTTTATATGAAATTGATTTCGAAAAAATATATTATGACAAAATTATAAAAGCATTCTCACTCTCATTTATAATACATGTCAACATATATATATATATATATATATATGTGGTTCTCAATCTCTCGTTTAAAATAAAGCTTGAAAAATATTCCTCTCTTTCTCGATAGAGCTCCCTTTGTGGCATCAAGTTTCTTTTCTACGTTCTCTGTTGTTTGTGTTTTTTTTTTTTTTTTTTTTTTTTTTTTTTTTTTTGATTTTTTTTTTTTGCTTCTTTTGCTTTTCTTTATTATTATTATAATTTATACTTCTTTTGCTGCTATTTTTAAGTTGTATTATTATTATTATTATTATCATTGTTGTTGTTGTTGTTGTTGCTGTTATTGCTGTCGCTGTTTTGCAATTCTGGTTGGTGGTTTATCAAAAGCTTTAAAATGAAAATAAAAATAATAGCAACAACAAGAATAATAACAAGCAGCAGCAGCAGCAAGAGCAGCAGCAATGTTTTATTGATTTCGTTTTTAGTATTCATTGATTATTATTTGCTTTGATGCTATCGATTTGCATAATATGCAAAAATGTTGAAGCGTTTTAATAAAATATTTATAAGTCATTTACAAGTCTATTTTTATTTTAGTCAATTTTTTTTTTTTTTTTTTTTTTGATATTTCAGTTTTTCTTTTCACACGACCCAGTCGTTTTCGTTCTTTTTTTTTTCATATTTCATCCATAATTTGGTTATTTATTTCTTTTCAAACGCAATGAGAGATCATTTTATTGCCAAGATAAACCCTTATTGACTTTATAACCATGACACATAATCATCAACGATATCATAATTTATAAATATAAAATTGTTTGTCTAAAAGTTAAGCAAATAGCAATGAACTAACTATGAGCGACCCATAATATTAATAGCAACAACAACGTCAACAACAACAACAACAGCTATAACGATAGAAAAATTGCAATAAAAAGCACGACGAAGAAAAAAAAAGGCCTCTTACTTTTTTTTTTCTTTTTTATATATATATATATAATATATATATAACTGTAAGTAACCAGCAAGATTTCCAAACCAACCAATCTTTCACTTTTGACCAAAGCTACAATTTTTTCTGTTGTAATTGCCCCTTAAAAAATTGAGTTTATTAATTAGAGAGAAATAATTATTTTTCAATACAAAATATATTGTATTTTTTTCTCGAAGATTTGCATAAAAAAAGACTTAACTAATCGATTAATAAAGGAATATCTAACTAAAGTAGATAAGCACAGCATAAAGAACAAAGAAACCCCATTGAGTTTCACATTCCCCAGGAGAAGAGTCGCATTTTCTTTCCTAATGGAAAGGGACAAACGGTGGAATAAGGCTTTCGGGAAGCGAAACAAAATGCTTTTTATTTGCGCTCTAAGGCCCAAAGAGCCGCACTTCCTAGTTTCTCGTATAGGCCTTAGAAAGTCTGCTTCATTTTTCTCATTATTATAGACGGTAAAAATTAAGTCATCTTTCGATAGTGAATGCCTTCAACGCAACCATCCTTTTCGACAACATGTTGTTTCGGCAGTTTATCTCAGGTTCGAAAAGAATTATTTGCTTTTGCTAGTGTTCTTGAAGTTTTCCATCCTTAACTCCCATTAATTGTGTCAAATGTGTGTTTCGTAATGGAATTTTACTTTCATTTCCCCTCTTGCACGTGCTGGTCGATACTAATTTTATCGTCGAATGAATTTTCATTCGATACTGACAAAAATTTGCGTACATTGTCGACAAAAGTAAACACGACGCGTTGGCTCAAAGTCGTTAGCCGTAACCTGAGCCGTAAAAATGTGTGCTGAGCTTTTTCGACATCGACAGGCATAAGCCGCGATCCCAGTTTTATATAACTTCAATAGCATATGGTGTGTGGCACCTCTACATAATTTCAAAACATCATCCGAACAGATGCTGTTAACAAATGCTCTCACGCTATCATAAACATATATGCATAATGTATGCACTATCGTGCATTAAATGAAAGTTTCAACTATGCATTTTAACATTTTATTCATCAATATCCGCACGACGTATACGAAGTTTAATTATATTTTTTGAATATGAAAGGCAAAAGTTCATAAATAAAAGAAAGAGAAGAATATTGCCATAGTTTGTGAATGTTTAGAGGATTTGGGCAATAAGTTCGCCAAATGGTTTTTATGCGACAGGACAAGCAGAACAATCAATAAGGAATTAAGTGGAATTGTGTTTATATTCCTTACGCCATCTCTGGTACTTGCACTTTGGATTACTTTAGACACTAAACAATGCGATGTCATTCCTTTTTCTCCGGGTCGAGCAAAGATTTCAGAGATCTCGTCTAACAGTTACCGAATAGTCGCTTGAGAATTGCGCAACAACAAACTGGGTTTTTTTTCTTTTTTGCTGAAGCTTTATTTAAGCCACTAGTGCTGCATGATAAAAGCAAGTAAAAACACTGTA